TGTTACATCATTCATGTACATGAAATGGTATATAACTTTGATCCGATATACATATCTGGGCACCAAAAGGAGAAAAAATAAGCCCATCTAAATTTATACTGATCGAATCAGAAATGTGAGTTGGTTAATTTCTGTTCTGGTACATGATGATGTACTGCGGCATTGAAACAATCATTTGTTAAAAGCGTTGAAATCGGAAAAATGCAAATACATACGAGGGGAGGACAGACAAATCAGCAAAACATTTTTTTTTGTATTTTTTATCCCCGCTTCATAATCGCCATTGATTTTTTAATGCATTTCTCAAGCCTACAGATCCACCTCTGGTATTAGTCCTCAAAATCTAGCATTTTAAGCTAATCCAATTCAGCCTTAACCGCATTAAAGATCCCTTCGTTGCTATTAAATAATTTTTTAATTTTAATTTTTAATTTTCGAAAAATAATTAGAAATCACATGGTGCTATATCCGGGGAATATGCTGCTGGACGTATTTTTTCGAGCGCAGAGATGGTAATAAAATTACTCGTTATTTCAGCAGAGTGGGATGCTCTTTTGTCCTGTTTTCCAACAAATTTTTGAAAGCTTTTGGTAAGACCTCTTCGGTGTACCATTTTGGAGTTACCGTCCGACCCTTTTCCAGTGGAATAGCAGCTGCGATTTTAGATCGGCTGACTAACTTACATCATTACTTTTGCTCCTGTTTTTTGTTGCTTAGATTTAATGTGTGGGTTTGCTCCTGTTGGACTCCATACCATAAGCTGCTGTTTGGTTTCTGGATCGTACTAAAAAAACATATAAACGTCACCTGTAATGACTTTACTTAAGTTATTGGACTAACCATTTTCGAATTTGTTAGGGAAAATTGAGCAAAATTCACTCGAGCTTTAAGGCCTTATTTAAAATCCGTGGTACCCCGCCGAGCAGATTTCTTTGTGTATCCCAGATGATTACTTAATATTCCCAATATAACCATGACATTCTTCAGTAGCAAGCATTTCATGTGTCAGTCGTGGGTTTTCGATAATTTTGGACTTCACCAGAGCTGCAAGTTTTTAAGCGAACTTTTCGGGACTCATTCTCTATAAAAAAATGTGCGATATGGCATCTTCGGAATCACAAAGAAATAGTCTTTAATGATGGTGCAATCGTTCCATTCGGAATTTGGTATTAACTGAATATTTGTATTGGCTGTAAATTACGCCGAAACCCGAATAGAAAAACCTAATTTCTTTTTGCGTTGGTGGGGTAATTTCTTCTGATCTATCCTCAGTTATCTTGCGTTTTCTCGTCTCCATTATAACTGATCATTCAAAATTTAAAGGAATATCATTAAAGTAATTGCAAAGAATTTGGTAATTTTAGATTTAATAAGAACAATTTGGAAGCCACTAACTGACTGTCACCGTTATCGTTATCGAAAATACCTAACTGGTGTGACTGGGAAACTACCAACGCTCCGGCCAGGGATCCATAGCCATCTTCACACATGGCTCGAAGCTTGGTGGGAAAGTGGGATGTGGAATTTATTCTCCCATGCTTTCATTAAATATGTGCATGAGACTACCAGAGCACTTTAGCGTTTCCAAGTGGAACTCTTTGTCATCATGGAGGCTGCTAATTGGTTGCATAAATCTATGGCAGCATGACAATCGGTTACAATATACACCAACAGTCAAGATGCAATCTGATATCTCCAATGTAATGGCACCACGTCAAAAGTAGCTAAAGAATGTAGAAATTTTCTCAACAAGCTCTCTACTAAATATAGCACTGCCGTTGGCTGGGTACGTGAACACAGGGACATCCCGGGCAACTACATGGCGGACGAACTGGCAAGGGAAGTAAACCTTCTACCCACGATAAAGCAAACAAGCGACGCTGGTTTACCTCTATCCACGGCAAAGCACATGCTTAAACTCACTTTTACCAGAGAAACTGATTCAAGATGGCTGAATGAAAACATCTTATCCTTCTGGACGGATTCTCCATAAAAATAACGACGGGCATAAAAACTTTACACTGATTAATGGGGCTTCACGGAAAAAGAATGAGATATCAGTCTAACCATTGTGTCCAAATAGCACACCAGATTGCAAGTTTTAAAGATTTTGGCAGCCACAAATTCGACTGATTTGCTTATTTACGTATCACCTGAGGGGGAAATCCTCTATTGCTTGCTATTCCAATCCCCAACGGAGGCATATATGGGCGGCATTCTTAATTATCAGTCTTACTTCAGTTGCACTTTGCATAAATGTAGGCATAAGTCGAAAAAAAACTAAACATGTTTGGTTTGACTGTAAAGTTTGTCAAAACCTATTCCCAGAAATCTGGGAAAGACAGCAGCTAGTGCTAATTAGTAGGGGAAAGGGAACTCAGATAGCCTCTCGGCATACCGTCCTCTCTGCATGCCGGACACTGCTGGAAAGCTGCTGGAACTACTGCTAAAACTAAGATTGAAAGCAGCTACTGCTAGTGCTGGAGGGCCTTTAAAACAGCAATTCGGTTTCAGGCTCTATAGATTAACACTGGTAGCTATCAAGAATGTAGTTAAAAGGGTTGAAAAGGCTCAACAATCGTGTCGTAAGGAAATACTCCTACTAGCCACATTGGACGTTCGAAATGCCTTAACAGTGCACAGTGGAAGGATATGCTCGAAGCCTTGGAGAATAAATTCTCCATCCACCGGTATCTTAGCCTAATTACAAGGAGACAGGGTCTTACTCTACCGAATTACCGACGGGCAGCGAAAACACAGGCTGACGGCAAGATCAGCGCATGGCTCTATCCTCAGGCCAGACCTCTGAAACGTCAGCTACGATAGTATATTAGACCATGAGATGACAGATAGCAGATATCTCGTGGGGTATGTTGACGAAATTGCCGCTATGATCACCGCGCGCGATACGGAAGATGTACGCCGGAAGTTCATTCATGTAATGATAAGAACAAAAATGAAGCTTCAGAGCGCGGTCTCAAAATCGCAACAGAAAAACCCGAGCTGCTGCTATTAACGAGGAAACACATACCTCTGGACATAGACATGCTCACAATCGCAGAAACACTGAGGTTAAGAAGAGTTGTAAGACTAGACCCTAGATTGAGATACTGGGTACAAATCCGCTTGAGCTACTGGGCATGCCGTAGTTAAAGCCTCCAAAGTTACTTCTCTGCTTCGTAGACTGATGGCTAACATAGGAAGATCCAGCTCAAGAGAAAAGGAAGGTTATCATGGCGGCAACCCCTAATATCTTACTGTATGAAGCCGAGCTATGGGCGGACTCATTTAACAATAATAATAAGCGAATGGTACTGACTAAAGTATACCGCACATCGGCTCTAAGAGTACAGTATCAAGGAAAGCTATAGCTGTAATAAGCGGAAGTGTGCCCATCGACCTATTGGCAGCTGAAAAGAAAAGAAAAAATTAAGAACTAAGGATGCACTGTCAATACAAACATAAAGGATATAAGGAAAGAAACCCTGATCTAATGTCAAGCCCGATGGGAAGAAGGAAGTTATGATCGATGTCCGGCCAGATTAATAGCAGACGTCAGAATATGGACAACTAGGAAATTCGGGGAGGTAGACTACTACATTACCCAGGTGCTGTCTGGTCACGGATATTTCAGGAAACATCTCCATGAAATAGGGAAAACTGAAGATCCGGCATGTATCTATAACGATGCTAACGAAGATGACGCCGAGCATACAATCTTTCAATGGACTCGCTAGCAAGACGCGAGAATTTCGACTTAGACGTTGGACAGTCTAAAAAATTTCTGCATTGCATTGTCGTTGGTGATGAAAAATGGATTCATTATCATAACCCAAAGTGCAAGGGATCGTATGTGAAGCCTGGCCAACCATCGATATCCACGGCAAAACCGAATATCCATGGTGCCAAGGTAATGCTATGTATTTGGGGACTACAAGGGCCAGACGATCAATGGGGACCTCTACCGAAAACAGTTGATTCGTATGAAAAAGGTCATCGAAGAAAAACGACCAGAACACGAATCAATAATTTTTCATCATAACACCACTCGGTCACATGTTGCAAGGCCAGTTAAAAATTATTGGGAAAACTTTGGGTGGGAAGTTCTACCTCACCCGGCTTATAGCCCAGACATAGCACCTTCCGATTACCACTTGTTCAGATCAATGCAGAATGCCCCTCCGCTTCACTTCAGTACAGAAAGATGGGCAAACACCGTGGCTTCCGTTGGGCAATAATTTGAACATTAAATGTATAATAATATTTTCACAATAAAGTCTTAATTTTCGAAAAACAGACCACACGAATTAATTTTATTTTAATTCCTTTAATTGAATTGAATTTAACTTAATTTAATTTTAATGTTTATTTTTATTATTTTTTCATTTCATTTTCTTTTATTTTTTCAACTTTTTTTATATCATTTAATTTCATAATTAGTTTTTGCGGCCATGCTATATATTAATTTTTATTAAGTAAACTACGAGGTCTTGTTTGTTGTATGAATTGTTTTCATTCATTCCAGATTTGTGTGTAAATTTGTATATCCTTCAATTTTTTATTGTGCCAGACTAATAAAGGTATCAGCTAATAATGGGCTTGAATTTAATATTCGCTGTCGCATTTACTTAATTAATATTTATATGCAACTGATTGTGTTGCTTGCTTAAGGTAATCGTAATGAGTTTGGCGGTGTCTCGAGCAAGTGAAGCGTGTCGATAAGAGCATTTTAATTAACAAGGCAATCGATGTTATTGGGCAGTGCCTGGTGCCTGAGGTGTTACACGCACACAGCCGTTTTTTTATTAACATGTATATTTTTATATATGTACATATGACATCAGTTGCTCTGCTTCTGGATGATTTGGATTGAAACTGTTTTCACCGATTTCTTATAAACATTTGAATCCGATTTTGAAGAATTAAATATAAAACATTTTGTTTAATCTCAATTAAAAAATATTTCTAATCAGAATTTTTCAAATTCTTTTCCTTTACAGTTAGCTGTCAACATGCAACGTTCTAAATGACGTCAACACAACTAAACGACGGATAGCGCGGGGATGTATGAGTTTAATTTGTGATATTTGCTTTCTCTAAGTTAAAAACGTAAGTTGAGTTTAAATACCTTCCTTGAACAATAAATAATTTAATTGTATTTTTTTTTGTAATTTTTCTTTAAACAGATTTTTAAATATTTACATGTCTACTATATATATATATATAGATGTTGTACTGTACGTAATTTTTTATTTGCAAAAAACAAAAAAAAGACAACAAATTTTTGCAAACATCTTTAGTTCAATTCAAAACAAATTTTGAGTTTAGATGCAATTGAAAGCAAAAGAGAAACGGAAAAAGACACAAAAAGAAACACTGAAAAATCACTAAAAAATTTAAACTTAAAATAAATTAATCTAGAAACTAATTTAAATAAAAGTGATTTAAATCATTAATTTTTAATAAATTATTAAGTTTAAAAATTAATTAAAAAATAGTAATTTAAAAATTAATAATATAATTAACATAAAATAATAATAAACAAAAGCAAAGTGATAACTGCAACTAAATAATATAATTAAATAATTCATATAAACATCCCACCGAGCGTATAAAAGACAAATTCAATACCCTCCACTTAAACAAAGCCCAACGTGTTGCCACCACAAATTCCAGCATCAGTTCGTTCGAATACTCGTCTCAGACGACCGCAACAGTCACAACTCACACATACAGTTTTTTCACCACTGTGCAAGCGGAGTGTGTGTGAGATTCGCATGGTCACCATGTCACATGGGGTCGGCCAGGAATGTTTGTAATATTTCCAGCTGATGAACTCATTTTGATGACATACGGTCCTGCAATACCACGTCTAGCTCCACGACCAACACTCGACTGCCTGCGTGAACCCGAAGTACCGATTGAAATACCGCCAAGATCATTACCACCGCCTTTACCAGCGTCTAAACAAGCAACAGCAGCAGCAACCGGCACCACAAACAACGCAAGCACCACTACATCAGCTGCTACCCCAAACAGCAGTAGCCGAAGTGAAGCGACAAAGGTCGGCAACAATAGCAGTAACGCCAACAGCGCCAACACCACCACATTACCAGCAGCGCATAATTCCACAGCAGGAGGAAGGTTCGCGTCCGGCGGCGCTGCCACGCCAACGCCCGTCTTCACCACCGCCTTCACATACGTTCCCATCGAGCCGGCTCAAGCGGCTCCACTGCAGTACGCCTCGAATTCCCTACCACCAACACCGACTCGTCACAACTCACGCAACTCACGCACATCTCGCACATCGCTCACACACTCGGCTTCGGCTGTGCCCACGCCTGAGGCAGCCACTCCGAAGCGTTCTAGTGTGCGTAGCAATAGAAGTAATCGAAGTCAGCAGCAAGATACACCGCCGCGCCAGCAGCCGCTGCATTTGCCGTCACCTGCGGTGAATGTGCAACAGCAACAGCACCTGTTGCTACTACAACAGCGGCAACAACAGGAGTATCAACAACAGCAATTTCTATTACAACAACAGCAGCAGCAGCAAGAGCAGCTGTTGAGGCATCTGCATATACAGAAGCAACAGCAACAGCAACAACTGAAACAAAACAGTATTTCCACGTACACGAACTCAGCCAACGACCAAATGCAGAACGATGCAATGGGCAGCGCTCGTTCGATGCAGGGCCGACAGGGTGGTCAACGACCGACATTAGAACGTAGCACGGCTGTACGCGGCACCACGCCACAACGTGGTCTGACGCCACAGCGTAGTGCCACGCCACAGTACGGTTACGAGTCGGAGCCAATGGAGGATTACGCTGGCGCCACATCACTTGGTGCCGGCGGTGGCAACCAATTGATTAGCGCGCGTGATCGCAGTCCGAGTGTATTTCTCGAACCACCCTCGCCAGACCCCACACAGATTGTCTACGGTCCAGGCTGGGGTCGGCCGATGTCACCGATGGATTTGCCGCCCGAGCCTCGACCTAAATCGCCGACGCCAAGCAAATCATCACGTTTGCGCCCAAAATTACATCTGCCACTAGGTCGACTGGGACGCTCTACCTCAACGGATCAGCGCGAATCGAACCGTTTGAAGGAAGATCTGCAACTGCTCGTCGATAATCCGGTATTTAATTGTGAAAACTTGCGGCAGCGTAATTTTGATGCGTTCTTCGAGTCGGGTGAGCCAAAGTATAAGCTGCAACCGATGACGCCGAATTCGGCACCCACCGGTTCGTTATCGAGTGGTAGCAGTCAGTATTCGCCGCAAATCGATGCGCGCAGCACGACGAGCGGCAGTGGAGGCGGTGGTGGTGGTGGGCTGTTTGCGCCTTCGCCGCACGAAAGCAAATCGGCGATGAATGCACGCTCACGTTCCACGGACCAACCTGCCACGCAGAGTCGCGAAAGGCGTGCAGCCTCCGTTAGTAGTGGTGTTGTGCCTCAGAAAGGTGACAGGTGCCCCCAAAACACTAATTTTTATTCACATAACTAATCAATTTAAGATTTAAAATTTTGCAGTTTTAAGAGGCTTTTCTAAAATAAATAAAAAAAAAAAAACAAAGAAAACCAAACGTTAAAAAAACAAAACTAAATCAATGAGAAAAAGATTGCAGAATTAAGTGTTTTTTGAAAATTTAAAAGTGAATGACAGAATGCCAATGAAGAGATTTGAAAAAAATTCGGCACGACTTGATCCTAACCTCAAAATTTGTTATTTTTTTAAAGCTTTCAGTGTTTTTATTATTTTAAAATTTTTTTTTTAATTTTCGTTTTATTGTGCATGCGTTGTTGTCGTTTACTAATTTGCTTTACTAATTTTGTAGAAAAGAAATACACAAAAAGTTTCGGAAATTTTTTCTAATTAAATGTCAGGTTTGCTGCCAAAAATATTAAGGCGGGAAATGAAAAACTAAAATTAACTTAAAATAGCCTTGGTTTTGGCAGAAGTGTTGCCACTTAGTTATTTATTGGACATATTTATATGCGGACATAGTGAGAACGGGTCTTGAGATCTCTATAGGCTTATGTCCCAGCATTTGCCGCCGGGTTTTCATGTCTACGTTAAGGCCTTGATTGCCGTCCTTGAATTTGAGAAGGTGCCGCTGTCCAGCTAGTTAAAGTTCTCGGTAAAATAAAGCTGACATCAGCGGCGCCTAACAGAAGTAGCGAACGGGAGAAGGGCAGAAAGAAGTAACTCTTTTCGACATGCACTGCAGCTGCCATTATCAAATTCAATGTCAGATTTGTGGTGGCAAAGACTCAGTCGCTCAATTCTGGCTTTCACCCCGGTAGAGGAACATCAAGACATAATACACACCCATTGACTGTTCTTCAGCAGATCGTCATGTGGTTGAAGATACTTTCGATGGCACATGCAATGTATTTACGAACAAGCGATACCTCTTCAAATGATCTAAGATTGATCGGCTACGCCGGAGCCGGAAATATGGTCTTCTATAACACCAGATTTAAATATGAAAAAATCTCTCAAACCGTTAGATTGGCATCGGATCAAAAGGCATGCAAAAAATCAGTCCTGTTGTAGTAGTAGTGTTTTAGATATCCGTATACTTTGGTTCTCTGAAGAAATCTGGAGAGTTATATTTTACAACACAGACTGGTTTGTCTCTACTTACAGCACCAGCGCCGCTGCTAAGAAGTTGCAGATATATTCAGGTGATGGCTGAACTGAGCAGCATATCCCTAGTTCTAAAGAGCATGGTTACAAACACTTACAAGCAGGGCAGATGAACTGTAAATAGAGTACGCCAAAGCAGCTTCTGGATGACGAAAGCAAAGACGAAAACTTGTATTGGCTCGTGATGATGCCAAAGTGGAACTGTATGCTCTTAATTAGCTTGACATTTAAAGAATATTTTGTATGCTGACAAAACGTTTTGCAGAAGGGCCAGGGATCTCCTTCAACAGCTGGTGTAGGAGCTACAGAAATGATGGGAAGGAAGCGATAATGATTCACATGGAGTCGCTCGTAGGGCAGAAGCTAATAGCGAAAGCGAGCTTACCAAATTTTCATGAAGAAGTCAAAAGCGAGTGAAAGTCACCCACAGAATAAGGGATAATTTCTCGAATTATCAAAAATGGCCTATTTTGGCCAAAGTGAGCCGATACGTAGAAGTAAACGTGGCTTACTGAATCAGAACTTGTAATAAGGCCATTTTGCATATGTTCTTATTCTTCTTTATTGGCGTTGCCATTTCACAAGTACCTATCTTATTCCGTTCTTGTCCCGTCCATCACTCTTCTTGGGCGGCGGTGATGTCAGCCTTTAAATTCATTTGAACATCTACCATCTGGGCAAAATCACCTTCCCAATTTAGGGACCGGACATTCCAAGTACATGCTCTTAAGACATAATACTTAAAGTATTTGCTTTGGTCGTCATCAATAGATGGGTTTCTCATCCGAGGCAAAATATGGTTTTTCATTGGATTTTGTTTTTCATGTGGTAGGTCTCAAATCCAACGCACAACCGCATGGGATTCGTCTCTCTCCTTGGCTACCCAGGGGATATTAGCTTTAATAAAAAGCCAGCATCGAATCCACGGCTAAACAAATTCTTATATCGTTGGGAATCAAATCGATGGACCCGAAAAATCTACTCGGCTTACCAGATCCGAAGAGGCCAATGATAAATCTCAAGCGAGATAGGAACATCTTGCGAAGGGGAGAGCTTTTGGCCCCTGAAGGGAAAAACCAAACCGTCTACAACAAAATGGAATGTAAGGCAGCTAATATAAGATTTGGCACATGAATGGAAACAAGCTCCAAGTCAAGGAGTTCTGCTATTACGCCTGAAGCAGCAAGGATAAGTAACTAATATCATTGCCACTGTTGCCACAGAGCTTTTAAGTCCTGCAACTGTGCTGAGACCAAGAACTCTGCAAGAGCTAGGCACCATCCCTGCCACTCAGCTGACGGAGACACGAAAGCCAGCCATAAGTGGTCTAAAGATGTCCTCGTTCCAAGAGTAATGTGACCCTTAGTGAAAGTCACCGAGAACCCATGCTCTTACCTAGCATCTGGGAGACTAAAATATCTGGAAAACACCTCGAGTGCATGTCAAAAACCTAAGA